ATAACCTTGTTTTCAATAGGACACATAATAAAGCCCTACAGAATATCATTGGAAAAGTCTATGCAGAAGGAATGGCGTTGTTACTCCTCCCCACCTTCTGATCCATATGAACACTCATCCATTGTGACCATGATGGGGGGTCCCAGGGGACTCTTAACAATCCACCGCTTACAGTTCTGCTTCTTGTACTTCTATGGTGCTGACTCACAAGATAAAATATACCTAAAAGTTACTACCATTACCAAAAGACGCAACATTGGGTTTCATGACCACCACACAGATCTAAGAAAAGACAAATAGACTCATTCATTTGAGAGGGCTTCAAGAAAGAGTGCAAGAGTTTCATAATCTGCTGCTAGACATTTGGATTTAAAATAGAAAATACTATTAACTATTCAAGCACTTGTTCTAACCAACTGACCCAATATTTTTTTATCAAACAAGAGAAAAGATAGCTTAAAAGTTGTAAAATGATGTTAGAACATTAAAAAGAAATTAATAGCCAATATAAATATTTGTGAATTCTCTACCAAATAATTGCATTAATGGAAAACTATATATACGTACATGTACACACAGACACATTTTATACGTTCCTGAAATTGTGTCCTCACTTGAAAATGGAGATAATGATTGCTTCTTTAGTGTTAACTACAGGAATTAATAGTGATTGGTAGAGGATTGGCATGTCTTTTAAGAGGAAACAGAATGCATTAGTCCTCTCAATTTGCCACTAGTGAAAAGTGTATCTTAATTTCATTAGAAGAGTTGCATACTACATTCAAGAGTGACTGCTTGCAGGATAGAGGAGTAACAGATGAAAATCAACAGATAGAAATACAGTAGCAATGAACAATCTGAAAATAAACTTAAGAAAATAATTCCATCTATAATAGCATCTAAAGGAATAAAATCCTAAGGCATTTATTTAACAAAAAAAACAATACTTTTGGGCAGCAACTGTGGCTCAAAGGTGTAAAGCGCTGGCCCCCATATGCTGAGGGTGGTGTGTTCTTACCCTACCCTGGCCAAAAACTGCCAACAAACAAACAAACAAACAATACTTTTATTCTAAAATGTATAAGCAACTGTTAAAACATTAAATAAGATCTCAGTAAATTGAAAGACATTCCATATTCATGTTTATACAGTTTATAAATAGTTGATACTATTAATATAGTGATACTTAATGAATTGATCTATAGATTCAAAATAATCATTATCAATACTCCCAAGTGCTGATTGTCAAGCTGATCCTAAAATTCATGTGGAAACACAAAACACCCAGAATAGTCAATTTTCATAATGAAGGACAAAGCTGGAGAAATTGCACTTCTTGATCTAAACTTAATTCAAAGCCAAAGTAATCAAGACCGTGTGCTACTGGCAGGAGGATGGATATAGAAGACAATGCAACAGAACTGAGCTCAGAAACGAATCCATAAAACTATGGTCAACTGATTTCCAACAAAGGTGCCAAAACAATTCAATAGGGGAAAACAGTCTCCCTCTCTTTTTAGTTTTTATTTTTAATAAATAGTACTGTAAGAACTTGATGTTCATGTTCAAATGAATGAAATTGGACCCCTTTCTCACATGATACAAAAAATTAACAAAATTAGATTATTGAGAGGTAAAACCATAGAATTCTTAGAAGAAAACATAAGACTAAATCTTTGTGATTAAAGGGTTAGGCAAAATCTTCTTAGACGTAACACCAAAAGCACATGAAACCAAAGAAGAAATAACTGTATTGAACTTCATCAGAATTAAAAACTCTTGTAGTTTAGAGGACACCATCAAGAAAGTGAAAAGACAAATAGGAGAAAATATTTGTAAATTATAAATTGAATAAGGAATTTAGACCCAGAATATATTAAGAACTTTTAGAAGTAAAGAACAGAAAACAAAAAACTTAATTAAAAAATGGGCAAAGAATCTGAATATATGAATAGATATTTCTCCAAATAAGATATACAAATGATTAATAAGCATATGAGAAGATGCTTAGTATTATTAATCATCAAAGAAACACAAATTAAACCCAAAATGAGATACCTTATTTCATGCCCACTAAGATAGCATTAACCAAAAACATGGACAAAATGTATTGGTGAAGATGTGAAGAAAGTAATTTTTCAATCATACGTAACTGGTAGGAATATAAAATGGTAGGGCCACTTTAAGAAATAGTTGGGAATTTTTCAAAAATTAAACATAGAATTAACACCTGAAATTACATTCCTAGGTATGTAAACAAGAGAATTTAAATCCATTTGAATCCATGCAGCTGTCTTCCTAAATGTCCGTAGTAGCGTTACTCATAACAGCCAAGGTAGGAACAAATCAAATGACCATCGACAAATGAATAGGTCATTAAAGGGAATGAAGTACTAACATATATTTCATATGGATGGACTTTAAAATTAAGTCTTTAATTGAAAAACTTTCTTTAATTGAAACATGAGTTACATATTTTATAAGTACATAGTGATGCTTCAGTATAATGAATGTATAGTGATAAAATGAGGGTAATTGGCATATCCATCAGCTCAAACATTTATCACTTATATATGTTGGAAACATTCAAAATCTTCTTTTATAACTATTTAAAGATACATAACAAATTATCATTAGCTATAGTTACCCTACAATGACTCTTATCTAGCTGTAATTTTTGTTTTTTAACCAATGTCTCTCTATCCATCCCCTTCCCTGTTTCTTATAACCACTATTTTCATCTTATGATATCATTTTTTGTATCTTCCAAATATGAGTAAGAACATATAGTATTTGTTTTTCTGGTCCTGGCTTACTTCACTTAATATAACGTCCTCCAGAGTTATCCATGTTCCTTATATGGCAGGATTTCATTCTTTTTCATGGCTGAACAGCATTCTTTTTGTGTATTTATGCCTTATTTTCTTTATTCATCTATCTGCTGATGAACCCTTAGGATGATTCCATATCTTAGCTATTGTAAATAGTGCTACAATAAATGCTGAGATGCCTGGGGCCAGGAGGTGGGTAGAAAGGGAAAAGAAATGGAGTCTGACCTCTCATATGCACAGAGGTTTCATTTTGGAGATGTGGAAAATGTTCTAAAATTATAGTGCAGTAATAGTTACGTAAGTCTGTAACTAAACCGAAAACAATTGAATTGGCAAATCTTATGGCTTGTAAATTTTATCTCAGTGAAGCTGTTTTCAAACAGCAGTGGTTCCTGTGGGTTCTCTTAGATGCAGATTACACTCCCAGATCTGCAAGAACAGTTTGAGGCTAGTTTTCATCCACATTTCTATCAATGGGCATTTGAGAGAGGAAGTAGGAGGAGCTAGTCTGGGTAGAACTTTCCAAACTACCTAACAGGACAAACACAGACGTTTAAGGTTCATTAATTTTCATTTTCTAAGAGTGATCAATGAAAAAAAAAAGAATTCTTGACCTTATACTGCCATATTTTATGTATTTATATTTGTCACAAATAAGAAAGGGCTTGAATAAAATGGCTCCCAATCCTGAGAATCTACAAAAGTGACAGCCGTTTGCAGAGAGCCTGAAGATGGATATTATGGGTGAGTTTCCAACAGGGCAGGCCTGGGAAATCTTTTAGGTGCTGAGCAACTGGGCAGCTCTATTCTTTCCTCTCCCTTCTGAGATGTTTACATTGACTTTAAATATGTTGGTGCTTCAAATACACTATTACCCTTAATACTTTAGGCTTCTAAAGTGTTTTTTATCTGATTTGGTTTGTGTGTCATATTTTGTAACATTTTGAATTTAACTAAAAATCTGTAAATTAAAAAAATATATATGTGTGCATGCAAGCGTGCATATGTATAGGTGTATATACAGATGCTTTGGCTGAACATGAGGAAAAACAGTGCTGCTATTGCCTGATTCTTGCTTCATGTTTAGGACCTATTGGCTCACACTCCTTGTTCAATTTTTTTCAAGGAGAAGGAGAAATACCATTTAAATAGAGGAAAGGACACTCTGGAAACTATTTATTTGTGGGAAGAAATAAGATGGGGAGCAGAGTATAGAGAAGAGACAGCGATTAGAAAGCCAGCAGGTTGGAGAGAGATTACAAGGAGAAACTCTCAAAAATCTCAGTCCCCGGGGAGGTAAGGAAAGGACTGCCTGTCCCCAGCTAGCAGGTTTTGCTCATTTCTGAGAATCCTTGGGACAACCGTTCTGGTTGGCAGAGGGCCACACAGTCCTTCTGCCAAAGTACACATAGCATGTGGTCCTCCCCATCTGTAACTCTAGAGTCTAGACCAAATGAACAAGAGGTGAGTTTGTAATGTCACTTTTCATCAATCAGAACATTAAAAATGTGATTATCAGTAGGGGTGTTTGGCTGATGTTTTCTTCCAGGGAAAGGAAGAGAAGGAAACCATTTCTGCACATTGGTGAGAACACAATGTTGAAGCACTCTCACTGAAATCATCCCCAATTAGGAGCTCTTAGGATAAGACCTCAAATCATTGGTAGTCGTCCAATGTATGGATAAGGAAACTGAGGCCCAGAAATGTTCAATAACTTGTCTGTGATGTAGTGATTTAATGCCAAGCTATGTCTAGAACCCAGCTTCTCTGACTTTTAGAGTAAATAACTCATCTGTTTCACTGGTGTCCTTGAGTTTGGTTCAATGGCTTTTGGGTTTTATTCAAAATCAAATGAGGTTGTATTTAAAACTGTGACTGTTTGTCTTTCATGCCTCGAGGTTTCATATGATGCAATTCTGGCAGCATAGATTTTTAAAAAGTCCAATATTAAGCAAGAGAAGCAGATGGGAAGCTATCTGCCTTCTGGCCAAACATTGAAGTGAAGTTTCTTTTTCGTGGGAATGCTAGGGCACAGGAGATTATCTTTAGTGATTTCTCTTATTCTTCCAGCTAAAGCTTACTGTAGTTCTGTCTTCACTGCCTTTTCTTCCATTTTCTAAAGTATTTTAAGCCATTGGCTTAGTCTGATGAATTTAGAACCCCTTGGTCAACTCCCCATGCCCTCATAGCCAGATATTCCTGAAATAGGAACATTAGAATTTCTGAGGACTGTTCAAAGATAGGACTGCATGGTGTGTGAAGATTTCTTCCAGGGTGTTCTTATCTTTAAGATTTGTGTTGTCCTCAATCAGCATGAAATGGAAATAAACTGGATTTTGAAGTTTGGGTTTAAATCCTGGTTTCACCATGTACTACTTGGTAGACCTGAACAAGTTCTTTAAAATTTCTGAGAATCAGGAAAGTTGGTAAGTTGTAACCAGATAGTAATATAGGTCTGACCTTCTGCCTTTAAACACTATGGACCTACCCATACATTATATAATCATGAGAGAGGATTCCCTAGCTATGTTCACTTCTCCTCTTACTCTTTTACTATTTTCAACAATAATACTGTTTATTAGCCCCACCCTCTTTTTTTATATGTTCATCTAACTCCTTTCCTTTTATTGACCCTGGGCTTGTTTTTGTATGCCAGAAGATGGGTTTTGTTTCTGTAGTGTTCTAACTTTTAAGACACCCATAAGCATCCTCTTCTAATATCTTTTTTTCCCTCAATTTCCTCTCAACATTTCTGAGTAGCTATTCATCCATTCAAGATCTAGCTCCAGATATCCACCCTTGCACCTCCCAGCTTGTCTGGCTTCCCACCAGTCTGCCGTGATCCATTCCAGAGCTTTCTGAGGGATGTCTGAAAAATAAAACTAGCAATGTTTATGAAGGGTCCAAAACATCACCTAACGTAAAGTAAAGGTGACAATGCCAACTTTTATTCTTACAGTGAGGACTGTGCGCTCAGGCTGCCTAGACATGATAGCCAAGTATCTGAGGCAGGGCTGGCAGGAGTAGTAAGAAGTTAATGAGGAAGACGGACAATGATGTGTCTTGTTGCTTCACTGGTGTTTCTAACTCATTTGTTTTGAGACACCTTTTCTCCCCCAAATGATAAAAAGATGTTACATACCCAGCGCCCATCAGCTGTACACTAGGGATGGGATTATACTGCCGCGGACACACTGCCTTTGGCCTTCCACAACCCCTTTCATCTGAATTGTCTCCACAGTCATTTTCCCCATTGCATTCTAACTTTCTGGCAATGCATCGGCCTAGTCAAGAAAAGCAAACAACAACATTGCAACAAACTTTCCTTTTTGAAAATACCTTTTAAAATATAAATCCTTTAAATTTCAAAGACAAGTTGAGGGCAAATTTTCATTATTTTGGATGAAGATTTAGGAACATATTAGGTATGGAAATGAAGTAATAAAATAATATTTTTCAATTTTTTTCAAGATTACAATAGTTATCATAGAATTATTCATTTGTCATTGGGTTTATTATCTTCAACAAGAGAAATAATTCTAGAATTCCATTCTTGTTATAGTGAGCTGGCTATAGAGATCAGTTTCTGTAAAAGAAAATGAACAGTAGGTTCATAATTTTATTTTGATCTGGGATGAGAGGCTCAAAGTTACTGTTATTTATTTACCAAAAAAAAAAAAATCCCTATAATTTTACACATACACACACAGGTGTACCTGCACATACACATCTAGAGATTCCACGGCAACATGCTGAATCTCTAAAATTTTATGTTGAGTGAAAGAAGTCGCACACATAAGAGTAATCCTATGTGACAACTTCATATGACATTAGAGAATAAGGAGAGGGCATTAATTACAAAGAAGAAGGAGGGAGCTTTTTGGGTTCATAAGAATTTTCTGTATCTTGATTTGGGGTTCTTTACATAGTTGTATAATTTGTGAAAGCTAAATTGCATTCTTAGGATCTGTACGTTTTATTATATACAATTATGTTACTATATCTACTTACTATAATTTTTATTAAATATATTTACTATGTACTTTATTATGTCTAATTACTGTATATAGTTGATTTACTATGTACAATTTAGTAAATTTAGTATATGTAATTATTTTGGGGACAACTTAGGGGCTTAGGTACTACAATATTAGATAGCAAGTTGAGTGTGGGTGGTACCTGTGGCTCAGTGAGTAGGGCGCCGGCCCCATGTACAGAGAGTCATGGGCAACAACAACAACAAAATGAAGATAGCAAGTTGAGTGAATTTAGAAAGTCATATAAACTCCACATACTAAAATAATTCTCTTCCCTTTTTGACTTACTGAATTTCATAAGGATTCTTGGAATCAGTGTATAGCTATAGACTACAGATATTGGAAACCTTTATGTGAAGTGAGAGGCCCCCCTCTCCTGCTCCTCAATTTCTTCCCTTTGTTCAGGGATGTTGGCATCTGTGCCATCAAGTGTATGTCAGACTCACAATGATTAAATGTTTCCCTCAAGTTATCTGGTTGTCTATTTCAGGTTGTGCTCAGCATCTTACTACAATTATATATGACTGCTTAAAATGTTTGGTGAAACTGGATATTTTATTGAATTAATTTTACTAATAAAGGGTTACTGAGAAAGCACTTAGTTTCAATTCTTTTGGTTAATTATCTTCATTTAGCCAGGCTTAGTTGCTCATTCCTATAATCCTGGCACTTTGGGGGGCTGAGGTGGGTGAATTCCTTGAGATCAGGCATTTGAGACTAGCCTGAGCAAGAGTGAGACTTCATCTCTACTAAGAAAGAAAGAAAGAAAGAGTAGAAGGGTATTATGGTGGGTGCCTATGGTCCCTGCTACTTGGGAAGCTGAGGCAAGAGGATCACTTGAGCCCAAGAGTTTGAGTTTGCTGTGAGCTATGACGCTATCACATTCTACCTAGGGCACAGAGTGAGACTCAAAAAAAAAAAAAATCTTTGATGAAGACAGATAAATGGATAACAAACATTTGAAAAAGTGCTTGTGGTCCCTGATCTTTAGAGAAATGCAAATCAAAACCACTATGATATTACCACCTAACCCCAGTGAGAATAGCCTGTCGTGACTGCATAAATGATCACGCCAGACACAGATTAACAGTACACGCTGCAAGAGGTGAGGCTAACCATAGGTGCAGGATAGCACTGAGTACTTCTCACACAGTCCTTTTATTGAGAAGATAGATAATGGGTGGAAAGATTACTAAGCAAAGATATGCAGTGGCTGTGTGCTCAGGGAAATCATCTCATAGGTGCCAAGAGAGTATGTACTCAAGGAAATGATTTTCAAGGGTGGCAAGGGAAATGATCTCTAAAAATACTACATGCAATTTTTCTCCACTAATTCTTCAAAGAACTGCCATAAAATGCTTAATGTTTAACATCAGCTTTACTACTATAGGACTGAGCTTTGCTCCTCCAGGATTACTGAGTGACTTGGTGACTTGCCTTCCAAGTCACAAAAGATTTCCAGGCTTGCCAGGAGAATGTCTTGTTCTCAGTAATTCCTCAGATGAGTTATGATATTGGTGACTGTTATAGTAAGTATGATGTTTAATCCTCTATAATAGCCCACATCCCAAAGCCTTGAAGCTGAAGATGCTGGTGTGGATGTGGAGAGAAGGGAATACTTTGATGCTGCTGGTGGGACTACAAACTAATACAACATTTTTGCAAGGATTTTTTGAGTATCCTCAAAGAACTCAAATTAGATCTTCCAATTGATACTGCAATCCCATTACTAGGCATCTACCTGATAGATAAAAAATCATTTTATCACAAAGATATGTGCACTAGACTATTTATCTCAACCCAATTACAACTGCCAAAATGTAGAAAACATCTAAATGCCCACAAGCCCAGGAATGGATTAATAAGCTACGTATATGTATATGTATACGATGGAATACTATTCAGCCATTAAAAAAGATGGAGACTTTACATCTTTTGTATTAACCTGGATATATTGGAACACATTCTTCTTAGTAAAGTAACACAGGAATGGAGAAGGAAGACTCTAATGTACTCAATTCTAATATTAAGCCAGTCGATGATCTAACATCGCACAAGTGAAAAACCCAAATCGATTCAAGGTGAGGGGCAGGGGAATGAGGGAGCAGGGAGAGGGGAGAAGAGAGAGGTATGGGGGTTATGGTGTATGGCACACCTCTTGGGGGTGGGACACAACTATAAAAGGGACTTTATCTAACAAATGCAAACAGTGTAACCTAATTCTTTGTACCCTCAATGAACCTAAAACAATAAAAAGGGAAAAAGAAAAAAAACTTCACTTAGAAGGTAGAGAGCAGTGAAAATAATTCTTTTTCTTTGATTATTCAAGATCTTGTATCGTGTCTGAACTGCCACTTTAAAGAATTATAACTATCAGTGCTGTAATCATACAAGACTGAAAATATAATATAGGTAGACTTGAATTTCTGTCAACTCCAAGATATAAGTTGAAAGATGCTCTTTTTATTTATTTTTTATTTTTTTAAGATGCTCTTTTTAAAGAGTGAATCTATAGTTTCTGTTTCTTGTTTTCATGGTAGAACACAATGGGCATTTTAGTTTGAAACAGAGAACTTTTTTATTAAAGGGGAACCTATATATATTGTAATTTAAAAAAGTTTGAATCTAGCATCAATGAATTTAAGCAACAGCTAATTTTTTTATATGGTTACATTAGAAAACCACATTTTATTAGATAGAGGTAAGGATATATGTTCAGGGTACAGTTCATATTAACCTAGCTTTGTGAGCAAGGTACTGGAAATGAGAGACTACAAGGAATTCTATCCTTTTGATACTTGTAGGCATATTAGGGATGGCCTCTTAGCAAGGGCTGGGGTGAAGGGAAGAGAATATATCTTGAGTAATGTTTAAGAATACATGACAGGAGTGATATAGGCCTGATAGGATATGGCTGAGAATGATTCTAGGCTGTAAAAACTCAGTGCACTAGGAACTACAAGGGGAGAGAGACTGGAAGCCAGGAACAACAAAGAAAGAATGGGAAAATTAAGGGCACTTTGAATATTGCAGGATTTGGGGAAGTCAGCATGCTTTAGCCAACACATGCACATAGACGCATACTGGGAGCTTTATAATCACCTAGAAATTACATATATTTTTCCTGTCTACTTGAAGTGATTTGTGTTACTGCCATGACATTATTTTCATAATCAGCTGAAAATTTTGTGGTCTCTTAAAATTAGGACTTTGAAAGACGTGTTAGCACAATGCATGGGAATCAGTCTCACTGGTAATTCTCAAAATCCATGTATACCTTAACACATTTGGTCTTGGGGGACTCTTGGGAGACTCTAGACAACATTCAGAGGGAGGAAAGGGAGGAAGGCGAGTCTTTTTGGAATCGATAGTTCCAGTATTGAGGGCTAAACATCCTGAGTCAGTTGATCATTCAACCTTTTATTCTCATTGAAAGTAGCAATTAGTGGATGTTTTTATGAGAGCACAGTAGTATGTCATCTTCCAAAGAATGTTTAACAAACAAAGTTCACATCATGACCCAGTCAAAATGGATGCCAATTACATCTTTGCTGGGGATTTATCAATCAGTGGTTGTTTCACAGAAAGATTTAGGAATTCTGGTTTCAGGGAAGCAGGGAAAGGGTTACTCAGGGTGCACAGGGCGGGAGCTGCTTACTAACTATTACAGACACGTGTTCATAATTCAGTTTTTAAAAATATAGGTGGCTATAGACATAACTGTTGATGAGCTGGAGATCAGCTGGGCTTACACTGCTAACTTTTCTAAAACCATTCATTATAAATCAGTGACTCATGGAAGTATCTCAAGCTTTCTCAAACTTGGATTTTGAGTCTAAACATAACTCTTTTATTTTTTTTATTTTTTGAGACAGAGCCTCAAGCTGTCCCCCTGGGTAGAGTGCTGTGGCATCACAGCTCACAGCAACCTCCAACTCCTGGGCTCAAGCAAGTCTACTGCCTCAGCCTCCCAAGTAGCTGGGACCACAGGTGCCCATCACAATGCCTAGCTATTTTTTGGTTGCAGCCATCATTGTTGTTTGGCGGGCCCGGGCTGGGGATTCGAACCTGCCACCTTAGGTGTATGTGGCTGGCGCCTTAGCCACTTGAGCCACAGGTGCTGAGCCATCTTTTAAAGTTTGTTGTAGGTTTGCCATCTACTGAATAAAGAAGTCCTTCTTGATTATTTGTTATAAAAAACATCTTTCAAGCTTCAAACTGTTATACTTCAGCTATAAATCTTGATTTTAGCATTGTAAATGTAACCCTTAGGTCTGTGTTGTCCTCAGCCATTGTCATCAAGATTTTTTACATACTTCCTCTTTTGACAATTTGTGATGTGATATGAATATATAGGCACAATGTATATTTCCCTACCCGCACCTCATATTCATCTCTCAGGTTTCGGGGGTCGGGGAGCACAGAGGGAAAACCCGGATACCAACACGCCTGTCTGACATTCAGAAAAAGTTGGCCAGGATGAAGGAAGGAAGCAAAGAGTTAAGAGAGGAAAATGTAAATTCTGAAGTCTTGAGTTAATTTTGTATGGAATTTGAAATCTGCTATTTAGTTATAATACTTTACTTTTAAGTATATCCCAGAGTACACAGAGAGGATGTGGATTTTATTTATATGAAATTTAATTTTATTTGAAATTTCAGAATGACTAGATAAAGGTTAGTGAACTCTGCCCTAAGGTCTAAAACTAACTTGCCACTATTTTTATAAATAAAATTTTATTAGAACTCAGCCAGGCTCATTTATTTATATATCATCAAGGGCAGCTTTGATGGTACAATGACAGAGTTAAGTGGTTGAAAGATAGACCGTAAGGTCTACGACAGCTAAAATATTTGTTATCTGGATCTTTACTGAAAACCTTGCAGAAATCTGATTTTGACTATTCAAAATGGTGGGCATTGAAAAGCTGCTATAACAATTAACAAGGGAATACAAAAGATTAAGTAATATATTCAAGATTTGATTTATAATATAATGAAATCCAAAAATGAGATTTTGTGCATCTGAGTGAGTATTGCACTTATACAGGTATCATTCAGGTTATATTGCTATCATTTAAATCATTTTTGATCTAGTGTTTTGGAATTAAGCTTGGAGCCAGTCAAACATTTGCTACATCATCTTTGGTCTGCCCCCTGACATAATATCTTCGTATTCTTGACTTAATAAATTATGTTGAAAATCTTTATGTTGAAATCTCTTCATATAGATTTGTGCACATTAGTAGTCAATTTTTAAAAATATCTGCTTCCTCAGCTGGGCAAAGTGGCATGTGCCTATAGCCCCCATTACTTGGGAGGATGAGCTGGGAGGAATACATGAGCCCAAGAGTTCAAGAAGCCCAGCCTGGGCAACATAAAAAACCCCATCTCCAAAACAAAACAAAACAAAATGAAACAAAACATCATGGCCTAACTCTTTTTTCTCCTCTTCCTTTCTCTTCTTCCTGCTTCATAACAGTGTAAGATCTGGATATCACTATTTCATGAGAAAGTGAACCAGGTAAATGGTCAAGATAATGTAACTTAAAGGCTATAATTTCACATCTCAGTACCTCGATAATTGGCAGCATAACACCCCCCTTTCCCATGTTTAAAATGTGATGGGATTTTTCTATCATAGATTTGACTGGTAGTCAATTAGAATAACTTTGATTTAGGCATGTTATTTTTTGTGAAGACAACGTTTTACAAAATATATTACCACTGTCACAGCGGAATTTATTCTTGCAGTCAACCTCTTCAATTTTGCAGAGCTTAGATGGGATGCATGGTTGAAAGGTCACCAGGGGCTCAGTACATGGCTGTCCTCCAAACTGCCTGGGGCGTAAGACAGATCTAACCCTAGACTGAAAGGAAAGAAGAGAAAAACAAATGACTTGAAGGCCAGGTCAAGGCCAAAATATATCAAAGAAAACGACTTCTTAATCATAGAGGTGATTTTTTTTTAATGGTAGTATCTCCTAAATTTTACTAATGATTCTTCCATTCCATTACTGTGTATTCCTAGGGAAGTTACTACCTCTTTAACCCTCAGTTTCCCAACCTGTAATGAGGAGGTGGGGCAAAAATATTTCTAGGCTTCTTTTAACTCTGCAAGCATTTGGTTTTAAATTAAATCAAATGCACAGATGTTTACTGAGAGTCTCCTGAGTGCAGGAGACTAAATTCTTGTACAAAATAACAATAGCCAGCCTATAACACAAAGATAGTGTGAAGTGACAAATGCTAAGGAATTTTGAGATTCTTTTGCATAAGGGGGTCACCCTGGAAACCAATGGTGACAGAGTCTTAACACATTAAAAGATTTGAAATATGAGTAGTAAAATTGGAGAGTCAGGGAAGATTTGAAACATAAGAATTAAAATTAATGACTTTCATGTCAGAAAAGAGCCATTAAGAAAGATGGAGATTTTACCTCCTTCATGTTTACATGGATGAAGCTGGAAAATATTCTTCTTAGCAAAGTATCCCAAGAATGGAAGAAAAAGTATCCAATGTACTCAGCCCTACAATGAAACTAATTTATAACTTTCATAGGAAAGCTATAACCCAATTTTAGCCCAGGAATATGGGGAGAGGGGAGAGGGAGGGAAGGGGAGAGTGGAGGGAGGGTGATTGTTGGGACCATGCCGATGGTTCATCTTATAAGGGTACATGTGAATCTCTCTAAATGAAGAATATAAATATCTTAACACAATAACTAAGAAAAAGACATGAAGGCTATGTTAACCAGTTGGATGAAAGTATTTCAAATTGTATACAGAAACAGTATACTGTACCCCATGATAGTATTAATGTACACTGCTATGATTTAATTTAAAACATTTTTTTAAAAAGAATTAAAATTAATGACTTTCATGTCAGAAAAATTCAAGTTCAAAATATAGCTGCTTTATTAGTCACTGGTTATTCTTGGTCAAATAACTTAACCTATAATATGCTATAACTTCTTCATCTTGAAAATGGGTAGAAAAATCACGGTATGACAGGATGTTTGAGTAATATGAGGCATGTCAGAGGCTTCAGACAGTCCCCTCAGAGAGTACACACTCCACAAATGAGTTTCTTTTCCTTTCCTAATGTGTAAATGTTCAGCAGAGCCCTGACTATGATTCACAATGTCCTTACAGGAGTGAGTATGAGGTGGGTAAATATCACAACTGGGAACAATAAACAAATGAAGGGACTTTCCCCCGGGGAGAGGGAATTTCAAAGAAGGTCAAAGAACCAAGCTTTTGATTCATTTCCCTCACTTCTGCCTGGTTTAAACTTTGGACTAATATCCTAATTTTTTAGTATAGTCTGAGTAGCCTAATATGAAAATTTGAAATCTGAAATGTTCCAAAACCTGAAAGTTTTGAGCACCAACATGATGCCATGAGTGGAAAAGTCTATACATAAGTACTTAACATAAACTTTCTTTCATGTACAAAATTAATAAAAATATTGTGTAAAATTACCTTCGGGCTATGTATATATAAGGAATATAAGAAATGTAAATAAATTTCATGTTTAGACTTGGGTCCCATCCTCAAGATTATATATATGCAAATATTCTAATATCCAATAAAGTCCAAAATCCAAAATACTTTTGATCCCAAGCATTTTGGATAAGAAATATTCAAGCTGTTTTGGGCTTCAGAATTCTCAGAAGGCACAAGCAGTTGAATTCAGAGCTGGTTAAGTACAACAACCAATAATGATGGCAGAATTTCCTCTTGTTGTTCATAGACAATAAAACATGTAAAACTAATTGCCTCCCTCCTCAAAAAAATTCTAAATGGAATTTTTCCTCGGTGGAAGCTGGAAGAGTTGATCTTCAGAAATTGAAGACATTTTAGCATGTTTATTTCGTTGAGCCTGTGTGGGAATCAAAGCCCTCTGTCATGATTCATATTTTCCCAGAAATGCCCATACTTCACTCACCTGTTTCGCAAGGCAAGGGTCACAGTCTGACCATGGTCCATAGTCTCCTAGGAGGCAGTTGATAGGACACGTTTGCCAGTTACATTCTCTGGTCTCCTGCTTGGTGCAAATCTGGTCACAAAAGTTATCCTGGTAGTACTGATCTACGACTATTTGTCTGTAATCATGAGGACAAAGCTGCTTAGAATGAGCGGATTTATTGTGGCTCCGGATCCATGAGAACAAATATCAATGAGCATTAACTACAGTGAATAAAAGGCAAGTTTTCATGGAAAAATCAAGCAAGTTGCCAGTTGGATCCATTTAGAACTCAGAACATAATTTGTGGGACCCAGGGCAAAATAAAAATGGAGGACCTATTTTTCAAAAACTAAATATTTCAAGGTGGTGATGGCAGAAGCATGAAGCCCTTTTAATTGTCAAGTTGTCTCCTGAAAGATGAAAGAAAAGAAAAGAAAAGAAAAGAAAAGAAAAGAAAGAAAAAAAACAAAGAGTTTCTGCAGATTGTTCACAAGATGAAGACATAGTGTGATAAGTACAACTGAGATAGGGCCGAAGATTTGAAGAGAAAGTGATATGAGAGAGACATCTTGAAAAATTCATGTAAACTCTCAGGGTAACAAAATGAAGAGCATTCAGGGGAAATGACATGTGCAAAGATTTGGAGTGGAAGAGGGAATTTTCAGAGGCTAGGGAGGAACTCCTGTGACCAGCTAAGGATGTTGTGCTTTGGCTGGTAGGCAGCAGAGCTCCTGAAGGATTCTAGGAGAGGCCTACTATAAACAAATTTGTTTCATATACCTGGTAGATGGTTTATTGAGGAGGTCAAATGGTGATTTTAATGAGACTCACACTGCATAAATAAAAGTGTTTTTCTAAAACAAGTCTCTAAAAAGTACTTTAATAGTTAAAATAAATATATACTTTTCTTGCCTAAGTCCTGGGACCATCTCTATAGTATTGAAACATCTAACAGATTTGAACAAACCATGGGGGATGCGTGGTGGGAATTGATAAAAAGACTAAATTATTAAATGCTATCAAGTAAGCACAATTCTGTTGCCATTTTGCATGTGCCAACAGTCAGGCTAATAGCTAGATGTGCTGCTTAATTGAGGTCCTGTTAAACTCAGTTTAATGAGTAGGAGATTCTTTGTAATTAGCTTTGTAATTAGCTCACTAACTGTAGGCAAGCAGAGTTATATGCTGATTGAAAAAAAGCTCACATAGTGATTCTAAGTGAGTTAAATAGTTAACTAGAAATATTGCACAGATTCTCTATTAATTTTTTTTATTTCTTTATTTTTATAGAGAGAACAAAAGTAACTTCCTTTCCAATCTCATTTGGAAAATACCTCAAATTCCATCGAAATTTATGAGTTCTTACTTCAAGATATTTTTTCCTTTGCTTACTGTGGCACTACTGATATTGCTGATTCCAACCTTGAGATCTCACAGGGCACAAAAGTTTAAAGTTACATAGCTCACACTCACCTGTGTCTGCTCTGGGTTCCAGAATTGCAGGTTTTGGAGCAGCTGGACCACTGAGTCCATGAGTATCGATCACAGAAGCAGGTGTGGCCCTTGTCAATCAGAGCACTCAGCAGGATGAAATACAAGATGGAATGTCCTGTCATGCCTTGAGAGCCTCCAGGCCCTAAAACAAAATGATATAACATGTAACAAATGCTTCCTGGTAGCAAAACTTTACAAGTCCACAGATTCAAATGTGATTTATAAATACCTGCATTTCTCTGCCTTGAGTCAATTCTTACAAATTCCTATAGTCATGAGTAAAAAACCTATTTTTACAGATTTTTTGGGGGGGTGGTGGAAATTATCATAGTTACAACCCCAAGACCCCTAAGTTACCACTAATAGATAGGTTATAAGACTTCATTCAAAAAATAATTTGAGACATATATTATAATATGCTTCTTAAAACAACTGCTCATTTTTTTATGGAAAGTACCCTGAAATTCATTTTAGTTTATAATACTTTTTCTGAGACTGAAGAAGTTTTGACTGTGTCTCTGGAATCTTTTCTGGTTTTTGTACAGACAAGGGTCTGACTCTTGCTCAAGCTGGTCTTAAACTCCTGGCTTCAAAGCAATCCTCCCACCTCGGCATCCCAGAGTACTAGGATTATATAAGTGTAGGTCACTGTGTCTGGCCCATTCACTGAATTTCTAACAACTCTACTTACTGAGCTCCACCATCCAGACCATAAGAAGGTGGAAAATTTTGACCAGTGCTATGCTATGGATCCTTAAGGCTCTGTGAGTTATTTGCAAAACTATCTCTGTCCCCTTATATTGCCAGTTTGATTGTACTATCCCTAACAAAACATGCAACATAATTAATATCTATTTGTGCATATATGGACAATAATGCTACATTTAATGTAGTAACTTTTATTTTAAAAAGCAAAACCATTCACCCAACTTCTCTGTGTCTCAGCTTCATTATCTTTAAAATGAGAATAATATTTTTTACCTTCCCATAAGGCTTTTGTTAGGATTTTGGTAGGAAGGTTTATATAAAATTCTCAGAATAATCCTTGGCATGGAATCATCACTCAATATTAGCTTTTCAAATTAAAATCACTTTTAAAAGTATTACAAGTTTAATAGCACCCGTTGGTAAATTATTGTCAGAATTAATAGAGCAAGTGACAATTAAAAATCAGTTTTGATATTAAATAAGACTATTCATGTTCAAAATATTTAGAAATAAGGCTCTACTTGCTTTGTCTCTTATAAATAAAATCAGATTCCTGATCACCATATTTGAAATTGCAGTTTCCCCCTAGTGTTTTCTCTCCTCTTTCACAGTTGTATGTTTCCATTCCTTCCTAATATATGCATAATTATTTAAGTTTAAATAAATATCTCCTCTTTCCTTTCTCCTCTTCACTAAAATGTAAACACCATGGTGATTGATCTCTTTGTCTGTTTTGTTCATTTCTTTAGAAGACTGAAAGCATGAATAGTGTGTACTGAATAAATATTTATTGAATTGATTGAGTCTAGGTCACATGTTAAAAAGGTATTTTTATGAAATTTGACTAATGTAATTTGTTCTCATAGTTACAGATTTTGTCTGTGTAATATTTTTTAAAACAAATTTCTGCGGGATTATGGCTATTTCATAGACTTGAGAATTAAAGTCATCTGTCCAGCCATCAGCCATTGTTTTAGAAAGAGTGACTATCGCATAACTAGTTTTAATAGGCAATTGAAATAAACTGGGTCTCTTGATTTCAAATTTATTTATTTATTTTATTAAATGATAACTATGTACATTAATGCAATTCTGGGGTACAGTGTGGTGTTTTCACTAATTTATTTTTAATACACTTATAATTTGTTTAGTCCACCTTGTTTATTTGATAACATTTATTGTGTTCTGAAAAATGTAAAAATGTATGAAGAAAACTAAGATGGTTTGTAATATCAACCAGAAAACCTCTGCTGACATAAAAAAATACAAATAATTCATGACTATATTTTAAAATTTTAAACAGAATGGAGAGACAAATATAAGGCCTGGTTTTCATCTACCTGTGACTGGAAGCTCTCCCCACATATAATCATGACTTTCCCCTTTATGTATCCAACAGAGGGAAAATTCTCTCATATGTCTATGTCAGCATACATGTATGTGTAATACATGTATGCATATTATTTAAATATACACACAAAAAGAGAACATATAGTGTATACTATTTTACATTTGTCTTTTTTGGGGGGGGGGTCTGGGGTCAGGTTTGAACCCACCACCTCTGCTATATGGGGCCAGCACCCTACTCCTTTGAGCCACAGGCACCACCCTACACTTTGCTTTTTTCAATTCATAATATGCTTAGAAGATCTTTCCATATCAATAGATTCATATCTACTTCATTATTTTTAAGGGCTAAATAGTTTAATATTACATGGATATACTGTATTGGATTTAACCATTATCCTAATTATGAATATTTAGTACACATGATGTGGTTTCTTCGTAATTGTATCTTAGCAAGCATGCTTTTCTAGTATATTCATAGAAACATTGGGTGTATTCCTAGCAGTAGAATAGCTTAGTGAAATGATATGTAAATTTGAATTTTTGATAGATCTTTCCAAATTACCCTACTGAAATAATGGCTTTCTCAAATGTCAGAGGATGAGTTTTTGATTACATTTTAACATGACAAAGTTTATGTTTCTTGGTTGTGATAAAAGGATTTACTAAAATTAAAATGGGGTTCATCATTTTATAAACCTTGTTTCAAGCCAATGTCTTGAGATTAAATATAAAAATTGTCTCTCCAATATGCCCAGAAATGAGAGTATTTCTTGGCAATACATCAGTAAGTTTTTTGAACTCTCTTATAAGCTCAGAGAGAAATGCTGGAATAAAGCATTTAAATGGAACAAAATCCATTGACATATAGCCAAATGTGTCTTTCGGTTTAATATAGAACTGACACACATTTGGGTATCCGTTGTTTGCTACTAGGCATTGTGTGAGACACATAATTATAAGCCATTGTCACTGTATGGGAGGGCAGAGAGGAACTGAAGACATTACATGTGCTTTTTTATCCAACTCACAGATAAGCTGGGATAGCCCTAGACTATTTCAATCATAAAAATGAAAGGCCCCTTTAAAAAATTTAAAATCACCTGCTGATTTTAAATTCCAGGCAAGTAACTCACCTTTCTTGATTTTCTTTGGCAACACAGAACCACAGGACACTGGGACAAACAAGAGTGGCCAGTTAGAATTTATGTTGTGATCACACAGAATGGTATGAGTCCTAACCATCTGACCTGAGTCCTAGATTGGGTAGTTTTTTTACTGGCTTCAGGGACCTTGAGGGCCGAGACTCCTTAACAATGTGAAGCTTTGAGGGACAAATCCCCACCCTTCCGGACCCTGCCAAAATCAGGATCTTCTCAGAGAAACCTTTTCAATAAGAAAACCTAAACATGTATCTTTGTTGTTGCTGTTCACTTGTGCTTTTTTTTTTTTTAATTAGGTATTGGAAGAGACATATTTTCCCCAAATCTCTCAATTATAGAGAAAACAGATTATTAAAGCATTTTGGGAAATCGGCAGGTAAATGATGGGAAGAAGTTAAATTGTAAGGGATTACTAGTTCCCATTTCTCAACTGACACGATCTGTTTTACCTTTCATAAGCTTAAAAAGTATAGGTAGGTCTTATTCCAGTTATCATCAAAAATTGCAAGACCAGAACCCTTATAAAATATTCTGATCTCTGTCTATAACTGTTTTGAAACAATTTAGAAAGTGATATCTAAATTAAGATGGTAATAAAGGGCTAATTGATATCTTCTTTTGTAATATTTTATTGTTAGGAAGAACATGGTTTATGTAAAAACAATTTCGTTTAAATGGAGATAATAATTTCTCTGAATATTTTTTGTTATGCTACCCAACATTTAATATAACATGGTCCCTTATTTATAAATTTCCAGCATCTCTAGACATTTTGGAGGCATCTAAATTACATGTAGTTATTTTACCCATTATTGTACAATTTTCACACAAATGTGGAACAACACAATGTTCAGTGAGTGGAGGAAGCCAGCTGGGGGTAATCACCCCCTCCGTGCCACGGGACAAGGGCAGCAATTCTGCAGGTTTCTCATAATTGTCCTCCCTTTTTGAACTTTCTAAAAACCAATGGCCCCATAAAACCATTGAGATGGCTTTGTAAGCATTTAGAGAATTAAAATTAAGTTTATTTTGTTCTAACCTGTCACCTTCTGATGTACTTTACTCAGATGAACTATTTGTCCACAAGACAGTTCAGCACATCTTACCTGACAGGGTGCTCTAGTTCACCTTCAACAGTAGATTCTTTCTTTCCATCTCCTTATAAGTTCCTTGAATCTCTTATTTATGACTTTTTTCCCTTTTGTACTTGTGCAGAGGCTCAAGAAATGATATTTACCATTGCCAAGGTAGACTGATGTCCAGGCGATGACTGACCTTGGCTAAAGAGTACGTTTGTTTTACTTTTAGTTGCAGTTTAACTTATAGAGAAACTTGATCTCAAATGTCCTCTGGAAGGGACAGACATTTGATAAACATGAACCGCTGCTTCTTTTGAGATTTAAACAAAGTAGTAATTTCTTATTTTTCGAGAAAGATAAAAAGATGGCTATTGGCTGTTATGTGTTTTCATGAAAGAAAATGATTCTGAAATATTAAGATTGAAAATAAAATCATTATGTCACTCACCTTGAAAGCAGAGTTTGTGGTGTCCAGGGACTTAATCCTTAATCTGCAATTTATTGAGGAAACAATAGGTCTACACAATGAAGAGGGCTGAACATTAATCCAAACAAACCTTTTCCTACTGCTGGCGAACACAGGTAATGTCGTCATATCCCAGAGACTTAGCTACACCCAGAGTGTTGTCAGAGTAAACATTCGGTGCAAACTTGAATTTTGCTAATGATTATGCCAATCAGCAGTAACCCTGAAACTCTAAGCAAGAGATATCACACAGGGTCCTGAATTTTCAGTGATTTTTCTCCTTCAAGGGCTAAATAGGTATTGCTACTGCAGGAAAATCTCGGATTCCATTTCTAAAAGTTCTTTAAATTAATTGCTTAAAATTGCTGTCCTCCTTAGGTCCATTTATTCAAAGTATGCGTAGATTCTGATCTTTTCTGATTATAGAATATTGAGAAATACTTAGAAAATGTTATTTGTAGGCAATATGATTACATATGAAGACAATTCTAAATGCTCTATAGACAAGCATTAGAATTAATAAATGAATTTAATAAGATTTCTGGATATAAACTGATTATAGAAAAAGTGTTTCCATATGTCAGTAAAACAAAATAGAAAATTTAATTTGGGAAAGTTTAAACAACCTTGGTCAAAAGGGCTCTTTATAACTAATGATGATGCTTCTGTGAGGGGTCATAACGTAGCTTGAGACTGACTAATATGGATATCATAATAAAGTGAAGAAGAAGAAAAATCGTGCAACAGAAGGAGAAAACTGCAGAGATTGAGAATGTGGAGACATATTCTGGTCTTGATTCTGCACTAACCAGCTATGCTATCTTCAATCACTTTACTTCATCGGGACTCTTCTACTTCATTTGTGAAATGAGTTTTTTTCAATTGTTTTCCAAAGCTGTGGAAAATATCTTTTTAAAAATGTTCATTATACCTTCAATATGGAAAACAGTTCAAACAATTATTCCCCAGACAACTTAAATTTTCACTACATGGTAGGAAATGATGATCCTCATAGGTCTAAAGATTCTTTGAAGCGCAGCTGGGAAACCACCACTCAGAGGTAACATGCGTTGATATGTAGGGTAGCAATTTTACCAAGGCTAGAGTTAAGTCAGAATCACAATATAGACGATCTGAAATATAGTCTTTTTCCTTTTTCCTACATTATATTGAGACTTTAAAGAAAGTTGAGGCTATGAGGAACGTTGAGTGGTGTAAAGGGGTGTTGCCGTCCACTGTTGACAATGATGTAGGGCTGATATAGCTTTATGCTTGAGTAGCCAGAAGATGAATAAAAGAGGAAATCTTTGGTAATTGGGCAAGAAAACATATCATTTAAGTGTGTGCACTTCTTTCTCTAGTTGACCCTTCAGGCTCTAAAGTAAAAGACATTTTTCTGGGGTCAAGGTATTTGGAGCCAAAGGCAAACTCTAGAAGTCATAACCTGGAGAGATGCAAGGTCAGAAACTATAGGATGGGGTTTTTAGGTAATGTGGACCCTAAGAAGGAAAGAGAAGTAGGGAGGTGGAATGCCACACAGGTGGAGAGAGTTAAAGGTGGTATGGGGGAATTGTTGAGATAAAAGTCTGTGATCCAATTGCTAGAATTGACTTGGGATCAACTAAGAATGTAACAACTTTGCAACAATTTATTTGGGTTCCCAACCTTGGGTCCTCATGGATGGTTAAGTTATATAGTACCTTTCTGAGACTTTTTCTAGAGCTTAATTGGAAAAAAGCCAGTGAGGCAAATCTCGCCTGCAGTCCATTTTTGTAAAGAACATTTTATTGGAATGAAATGGAATAATCATTGTTTATGGCTGCTTTTACGCTGTAACGGTAGAGTTAAGTAGTTGAGCAGAGATTGTACATGTAGCCTGAAAGGCCTAAAATATTTACTGCTGGGCCCTTTACAGAAAAAGCCATGACCTATAGGGAGAGATTTCTGGTCTGTTAAGCACAACACGTTGTCTGGTTGGCTTTGGAAGTAGTTGCTTGGGGCTGACGAGTGGGAGATCATCTTCAAGACAGGAGTCAATTACTTGTGTCCAGCTGTACTCAGGTCTGCCTTTGCAAAAAGTATAGGTGCTTTGTAAATAATATTTGGATATGTGCTATACTGCTGAGAAACGGAGCTTGCCATGAAATTTACTGAAACTGAGTGAGCTGTTTCACCAACTGTAGGCCTTATAAAGTGCTGGTTGGTGACATGGAATATCTTTTCACATAAAATGCCCTATTTTCATAAAATAGAAAGTTGCTAGTGACTGACCAGTAGAAAAAGCCAATAATTATAAAGAAACAGAAGGTTGTAGGAGGAAATTAGAGACAGAACATTGAAAGTTAAGATGAAGCAATTATCATTTTCCAGAAGAATATGTATTCTGTTACAAACCATTATTCCTCTTTTAATGATGATAGATTCACAGCCAAATGGTATTTTCTGCCAAGAAAATAACCCCCTATATAAGATAATGAACAGTGGAAGCTGCTATCTGAAGGCTTTTTCACATGCTAAGTATTTACATATTATCATTATAGCAAAAATACTATAATTTCTCATTAGAGACAGGACTAATGACCCCATTTATTTCACAAATTGTTCAGAGTGTACTTTGTCAGTCAATATGTGAGTAGATAAAGTGAAGTAAAATGGCTAATTGAACTATTTCACTTGGAAAATCATAGATCAAAACTCTCAAAGACAGAGGAAATAGAAGTGGCTTTGGACCTCAGGTTACCACTCTCTTTTTCTCTTTTCCTTTACCGCTAAAATTATTAGGATGGTCTAAATTAACTGCATGTAACATCTCACCATCTACTGCTCATTCACTTTACTCTTTGCAATACATCTAGCCTACATGAACTTGTCTGTCAATGACCATTACTAAGCTCTTAATTGTCAAACAGAATAGCCTCTTCTCCATCCACTGGTGGGTTTCTGGACACAATACAATGCATGTATTTTCCCTGAACATTTAGGAAATTCCTCTTTTGCTTTCCTCTGTGATCCTTTTCCTATACTCTTCTGGGATATTCTGTCCTCAGCCTCTTTCCTTTTATTAGAGATTTCAGCTACTTCCACAGGATTATCCACCACTCTTGTTGATTGCTTCCTAGTTCACCTCAGTATTCACTTCCTAGTTCATCTCAGTATTCCAAGTCCAGGAATAAGATCTGAATAGAACACTATATTATGGCAATTGAATCCTCTCTACTCCACTTTTCTTATCCTTCTAAATGCTAAATCTATGAAGATAAGATAAAATGCTTTCAAAAAAAGATAAAAAGACTTTCTCTTTTATTTAGCCATTGTCTTTGAAGTGTCTCTTGTCTATGTATTCACCATTTTCCACCTCACCACCTGGAAAGGCTACAGCTTCACTTCCAGTCCTTAAGAAATCATATCTCATAGATTGAGTAAGTGGCTTAGCTGGTTTCTAAGCTTTAGGATTCCTGTAATTTCTTCTAATCTCTTCTGCCAAGTTATTCATTCTATAGCTGATCTCTTAGTGGTATAACTCTCCTCAAAATCTCAATGTTATTCTTTTAAGGAAATCATTGAATTAAGTCCCTACTTGAACCATTGTTCTGGCTGATGTATTTATTCCTTGCAATTTTTTCTTCCTTAATTTCAAATTCAGTGTATTGCATATCTCTTCTTTAAGGGCCATTCCAAATGTATTTACTTCTTAATTCTTTGTCATATTTTATTATCATCCCACCTTTTAGATAAAATATTGTGTGATTCCTCCATCTTTTAAACTTATATAGCTCTCTTTTACATGAAAATAACCTTATATTGCCAGGTATTATGATAGTTGTATGTTTTATTATAATCCATTCTCTCTTAACCACCTAATAAATTCAAAGTTGTTAATGACTAAGCCTAAATAATATTTATCTTTATATTTAATTAACATAAAAGTTAAATAAATTTTGATTGAATTGAATTGTCTTGAATTTGTGAGAAAATTGCTGAATATGCCTACACCTATGTATAGTTAAATGCTACTTTGTAGATTCTCATGTGTTTAGCATAAGAGGCAACAATCTTTCCTGCAGAAAAATGCTCTAAGAATTGTTTTTATTATGACATTTACTTAATCATTGAACAATGGATATTGATGATATTAAATCAAATAAACTCCTTGGTGATTCTTTGGCATGAAAACAAACCATTATTTAGGCTTTAATCTAAAATTGATCTACATGGATAGTATTAACAATACAGTTTGAGATAAAACAAATCAAACCTCTGCAAGTTTTTCCTCTTCTGGGATTGCAGAGAAACCAAATTAGATGCTAATTTAGGGCCATCTGGGAGAAAAACAACAAAAAGTTGATTGAGGTGAAATGGCTCCTGCCTAGATTTTTGAGTCAGCTTTTCAGTTTGCCTCTTGACCTCTAGTTGTTCCATGCATCTTGAATGCTGTTACCACAGCAATTTCCCCAAAGCTCTGCTATAGTGAAAATAACAGTCTAATATTTGGCTAGCATTTTATGGTTTGCAAAGCACTTTTCAGATTGCTATAGGAACAACAGTATCTTGTCATATCCTTTTTAAAAATTCTTTATTAAATCATAACTGTGTACATAATGCATTTATGAGGTACAATGTGCTGATTTGATATACAATGTGGAATGCTTACATCTAACTGATTAACATAACCATCTCCTCGCTTACTTGTTGTGGTAAGACATTCATGCTCTATTCTTAATAGTTTAGAAATGTATCATTGCAGTATGCACATTAGGTTAGGTCCTCCCAAATACACTCCCTCCTCCCGGTTCCCCCCCCACACTCCCCTCTCCTGCCTCATCCCTCCATCTTTCTGGACTATAGTTATGTTTTGCCATTCACATGCATGTGTAGGTGGTTATATACTGACTTTATAGTAGTATTGAATACATTGGATACTTTTTCTTCCA